GTCACAAGACCAGACACAAGACCAGACACAAGTAACAGGGTGAACAGTGACAGAAAATACTTTTGTTACAGTTTATTTTAATTTTTTTAATAGTGTGAGATTTGAATTTGGACTGGATATCTTGTACTGGTTTTATGATGATTTTCAAAGAGACCTTGATTACAACACTACAGAAATGAATTGTAACCAACTTCAAGAATAACAATCCCTGGGGGGAATTCACTATAGAAATGGAACACAAAGGGAGATTTTCAATTCAGTTTTTTAGTGAATAAAATATGTGCCTCCTAGGCAAACCGTATTGTGGTTTTTGTCATTTTAGTAATTTGTGGTGAAAAATATATGTACACTGATGTAAATTATGCGTATTTATGAGCTTATCGAATCATTTCATTGGTCAGTTTTGGTCTTTTTCTTTTCTTCTCTGTGCCACAGGCAACCAGTACCTTCTTCAGACTCATGAGAAGTGGAAAGAGTTGATTGACACTTGCCGCCAACATCAGGCAGTGGTGGATGCCCGTAGCTTCCTTGGTCCTCGCTAACCACTCAAAGTGGCCATTTTCAAGAACACGGCGCCAGAAGTCAGGATATTGTCTCTTGATTTTCTCCCCATAGCTTTGAGTAGTTTTTCATTTCATTCTATTTTATGTTCACTAATGATACATTTCACTGACTGTCAACTGTATGACTCAAGATGCAGCACTTGAACAGATGTATTCTACTCAGTCTCATCAATTTTAAAGTTATTTAGTAGGGTAGGATTTTGTCAAAAAAACAAGAGATGATAATTTACTAGCAGAGGAAAAGATTCTTGAAATGCAAATATAACTTAGTCTGTATTTATATCCGTACGTTGGAACTAACGTTCTAAAACCTGTTTGTGTGTTGTCTGAATGCAGTGCATTATTGGTGTTGGAGATAAGATTAAACATACTTGATCAAAATCAAGTAGAAGAAACAGACAACTTTAAGGAGAATGTATTTATGAAAGATAAATTAAACAGACTACCTAGGTTTAGGGATTGTTTTAATAATTGGCGAGTTTTATGATTACGATTACGATACACATTGGTTCCAAATTGTAGTAGTTTGTGCAAGATTTAAGTTGCCTTATTCTTTGCTGAGAGTATGTTTTGTCACTAGATAGAGGGAAATACTGCTGTTAATAGGTTGAGTTTGATCATACAACTAATTACCAAGAAAAAAACAACTCAAAACATTTACTCACATTCCAATAACTTTAAGTCAATTTCCTAAGCCGAGGGCTGTTTTTCTTTTTTTAAAAAAAAACATCATTATTTTTTAATCACAGTTCCCCGAGATTTGTTAGAACATGGTAGAATTTTTAGACTATGGTAGCCTTCACTGCATGCAGATATGACAACTGTTGACTGTTTGTATATATTCATTCCATGCAAAGGGGATCATTACATGCTGCATCAAAACATGGCCATGATGGTGTGCACTTTGCTTAATTTCAACAACTTATTCTACAATGTCAATTACAATCAATGTAGTCTTTTTAAATGGGATGTATGAAAGACCAAAGCCTTGCACTGATTGGTCAGTTCAGTGTTGTGTGAAATATAAAGGGATTGGGGGTACACCTTTTTTGCCTGAATAGTTTTGAAGGAAAANCTTTAATTTGGCGCAGATGAAAATATCTTAAAATCGCGATTAGTTGCCGTAGACACAAGGTGGGTTATGAAATAGCTCATCTTGAATAATGTGATACTTTTGGTAAGGAATATATTTTTTTTTGTAATGGTAATAAAGCATATTTTCTATTGTACACAGGTTATTTAGTGTAAATTAATAAATCATTGTCATGTAGTTAACTCAAAATTGAGCCAATATACAGTTGCATTGTAATTGGTGTCTCCTTCCACGTTAAGAGTGAACCTTGTTATTGTATCAGATTGGGGTCCGACCAGTGGCGACGCCAGGCCTCGGTTGCTGTGGGTGCAAGTGTGGGGCAAGGCAGAATCATGTTGGTGCAAATGATCCTTTGTTTTTCCTGGGTTATAATGCCGAGTGGTAAAACTAAAAAGTTGATCGCACTGTCGTAATATGTGACCAAATTTTTGTGAGTGCAAACGTGGGTACAAGTGGCTTTTCATTGGGTGCATTTTTACCCGCATGACATCGCATAGTGCCACCACTGGGCCAGACGTGGAGAGTTCAGCGTCATATTTTACCCTGATTAAAGCAAAGCTCACTCAGAATTACCAGGAAACACATCAGATTGTCCCAGAGTGCAACCTTTGCCCTGGAAGACTTTGATTCCAAGGCAATAATGGAACATCCATTGTGGAACACAGACCTGTCTTAATATGACTGTTTTAACATAAAAGGCAGGCTGTCCTTTTCATTTTGGAAAATTTACACAGAAAACCAATAAAAAGGTCAATGATATTTCCACTCATACATCTACTACCATATCAAAATTTTTGAATGAATAAACTAATAAAAACAGATAAAAAATAAAACAGATAAAACAAGATGTTTAAAAACCAGTAAATACGTTAAACTGGGACGACAAATGGCAACCCTTTTGATGTGAGATACTGCTGACAAGGTTTTTCACCAGTACCTCACATCAAAAGAGTTGCCATTTATGCAAAATATCATAAAAATATGAGATATACAATTTTACCTCCAAATTTAAGTTTCAGCTCTCCTGGTGTTAAATTCATTTTGTGCACATTTTGGTATGATAAAGGACAGGAGGAGCTGCTATTTTCCCCTGATTTCCGACTGGCCTTAATTTTTTTTTCTATCAAAAAAGCTTGCTTAAAAACAACTGGGAACTTGGCCTTTCAGAGTGTAATTAGTCCTCCAGGGATTGCTTTGTTGTTGCTGCATACAGTGGTTCTGGCTCAACCTGAACCTCAATGTTACCATTGATCCCTTCCTTTTGGTCGTCCGCCCCAGTGACCTCTGTTTTGGGGTCACTGACCTCTTCCTTGAGGATGCCTTTATTGGAGCTGGCCCCCAATGAACCCAGGCCAACTTCTGTCTCGTGCGATGCTGCATTGGGGTTGACGTAATAGACATTGTCATTCACAGCACTTGGAATCCTGCAGAATTAACGTAATGTACAGAGAGCACAGACTTGATACCATATCGTTTCATGCTTGATACAGGTTTCTGGCAGAAAGTAACATGATGTGTAAGACTTACAATAGGCCTTACTCTCAAGGAAGTCACTTTTGATCATGTTCCCTGAATCTATCATATTCAATGTAATCTGTCAAATGGGTTGGTGCCAGAATACTTTGAATTCCATGCCTCACATAATTCTTTTTATTTACGTTGTCGTAATCATTCATTTGGCTAGTTGATACTGGCATTCATGCAATTGACAATGCCCCTTATATGAGGAAATTTCACATCGCATATGTAGACTATGGTAGAACAATTTTAAGTTGTGGTGGCATACCCAAGTGAAAAAAAAAATCTCCCAAAACCATCCACCAAGGAAATCAGCTAGTGCGAGGAGTCGCATCAGCTGGGAAGTGACCAGTGGCAATACAAAGCAGAAAATGCTGATCATTCTCTTGCTGGGCAGACACTGAGGAGCAATTGGCCTTGTTCAGCCATACTGAATTGAACATGAATTAATATTTTTCATCAATTACAATGATGAAAACTTAAAAATTTGTGATGTTTCATGTCTAAATGTTTTAACCAACATTGAAAAAAATACAGTGAAAGAAAAACAGTCATTCTGTTGCTTGGCGTACCTTCTCTGTTCAGACGACAGGGATACTTCATCAGCATTGGCAATCAGCTCAGCATCATCGGTGGTCATGAAATCTACAGTTCAAATAAGCAAAAACACTCAACATCTAGGCAAAACACAACCTCACAAAGCACGAGGCATCATTTTGTAAGTAAGAGCTTGGAAGCACAGCCCAGCAGAGGTAGCTCAGGGCCAGTGTACGCATGCCTGTTCAAGATTCACTTTGTGATATCGTTTTGCTTTCATTCCCTGAATCACAGATGTTTTTGGTCACCAGAATAGGTCTGTGTATTTTGTATGCATCAGTGTTGTATCCGAGACCTTGATGTCCGAGACCAGGACCGAGACCAAGGCATACGAGACCAAGACCTACTCCTTCAAGACCAAGACCAGGACTTCGAGACCGAGACTTTTGCAGGTCCAGATCGAGACCAAGACCACGACATCCAAGACCAACCAAAAACCAATGTTTAGTTTTTACCCAAAGGTAAATAGGGACAAACATATGGCAGTACAATTAAGTACAAAAGAAATAAAATGAAAATATTAGCATAAACTCACACACACAAATAGGTCAAATATTTGTTAAAGAATGTCTCAGTTCTTTTATCAGCAATACTGCTCTACTTTTACCCTGGTCTGGTAATTTTCAACCTGAATGTCCCAAATGATATGATGTAAACATTGAAACAAATATCCTTGGACTTTTTTTTGTAAGCAAAATACTGAAAAACAAATATCCCAAAAAGATGTACCGTAACGAAACTACTAAAACAACACGTACCACATACAAGATGGAATGAAAGCACCAACCTTACATATGTATACTTGTGTGGTATTTCCTTTGTTCTTGTGTACAAAACTCCCACACAACATGGAAAAAATTTCAAATCACTGCCATTTCAACCAAATTCCTGGGTTGAAATTTCAACCGTATGTCCCTTATATAAAACACTTCAATTTGCGACCAATTAATGACACTTGAAAATTCCTCCTTTTTGAGTAAATTTGAAATTTGCATTTCGTAAAATTCTTGAGGGGTACCACTTTAGTACCCCACAAAGGTAGGGTACCACTTTAGCACCCCACAAGGATCAAAACTGACTTTGTGGGATACCTTCCATTGTTCCGGTACCCCACACGGCACCATGTACAACAAGCGCACACATTCATAGTGTGTGCACGGACAGATTGGCACGTGTGAAAGTGTTCCCATCCCAGCCCTATGTTCAGCAGGAGACTACGTAGGGAACGGGAACCAGTCTAGTGTGTGAATTCCGCTACTCACAACCTCCTCTCCATGGTGTCAAGCAGCATGGCTACTCTGGATTGGAAATAAAGTAACAACTCGGGACAAGGCTGCATCATGCTGCATTGACTAGTCTTCATTCCAGCATCGATTTCATTGTTTATTGCAAAAAATCTGAGCATTACTGTGTTGTATTTATACCAGTGGTTGAAGATTTCTCTCGAGCAGAGGTAATTTTGCCTTTTGCAACTGCGTACATGTGTGCTAGCTAGATATGCAATTTTTATAGTCTCGACTGGTCTCAAGGGGGAGACCCGAGACTATGGCATCTGAGACTGAGACCAGCGCTTTCGAGACCGAGACCGGCCCTTCCAAGACCGAGACTTTGACAGGGCGAGACCCAGACTGCAAAAAAGGTCTCAAGACCGAAACCACTTTCTCATAGGAGCCAGGTTGGGACAGGGTAACTTAACCACTTGCGGCTGGGGGACCCATTTTTGAGCACATAGGCTTTACACGCGAAGCCCGAAACAGGGACAAAAGAGCTGGGCCTTGTAACAATAGACAATGCTCAGCACAAAAGACTAAGCTGCTGGGCATTACCAACATTTTTTCACTCTCAATAGTGGAGATAATCTAGCCTTGTTTTGACACAGTATACCACGGGTTGGGGCTTTTAGTACAAGCGGATTACCACCGGGGACAAAAGCACTCCCCCAACGCAGCCATAAAGCTACACAGTACTGCTGCACGCTAATCTGGCCCCTATTGAAAAGAGGTCAGCAGCGAACTGTGCCAGGCTCGTGAACAAAAGAACGTTATATAAAACTGCACAATCTGGGCTCTTTTCACAAGGCTGAAGGCCTGGCTGATATACTCAGGCGTCAATAGATTTTGCCTGTCAGGCTACAGTGGCCACCAGATAGTAATTCATGTGGGTGTAAATGGCCATTAATTGAAATGATGAATTTTTGAAGATTTTTGAAAACTGAAAATCTGGAAATTTGCCCGTATGTGTTCACTACATTTTTCAAACCACCCGGCAGCAAGTGGTTAAGCTCCATAGGAAAGCCTACACATATATAAACAAAGTGGGACATCATCAGTACATTGGCCTATTATTAGCTGTTGCTACGGTGATACTGCACTTTTGCGTAGTGACTCATGGATGTTCATTAATAACAATAATCATTAATAATCATTAATAAAATTCATGATTAACAACATGTTGCTATGGTGTTGCTACGGTGATACTGTACTTTTGCGTAGTGATTCATGGATGTTCATTAATAACAATAATCATTAATAATCATTAATAAAATTCATGATTAAACAACATGTAAAACTGCTACAAACCAATTTGTCCAAAAAATTTGTTTCTTTGCCAAAAAGATTTTTCTTCCCTTCCCTTTAATGTGACAGTTTCTGTCCAAAACTCAGACATATGTCCTACCCTCACGAGACTTCATTTCAACATCACTGCTGGACAACGACCTTGGTTTTTTCTTTCTGTAAATGGCCAAAACAAAGAGGTCAATAAGTACCAAATTAAAGTTTACAATTAATTCCAAGTGAAACATCACTAGTACAAGTGAAACCTTTATCCACGATTCATCATATTTTTGTTTCATATTGTAATTACAACAATATCGTGCCTTAGGCCCTACAGTGCTGAAGAACCCGCCACTGAAGTTTTGCGTATTCCCTCCACTAGTTGGTTCTTATTAGTCTTATATTCTCCCTCTCTGATGCCACTCATGGCCCAACATTCACTCTCTGCCAGTCAGGTGTTGTACATGTGTGAGGTGATGTATTTTTCCTCAGTAAGGTGTTATTTCACCTCAGTTAAG